CAACAGCATAATTAAAAATCATTGTTAGACACAACTTTCAAATTCTTTACTTTCTTCGATTTCTTCCGAAAACAGCTAATTCCTAAATTAATTTTGTTATTTTTGGCGTGACACGTTCTTTATTTAAGTAATCAACTGAATCGATCTGAATATGTTGGTTGAAATATCCTAATACGTCTCTTGTGTCGCGAACGCATCATGCCAAAGACATCAGAATTACTTCAAGGATTTGGATACTTTTAGAGAAAAAAAATCGAAAAAAGTAAAGATTTTGAAAGTTATGTGTAATAGCGATTTTTAATCATGCTGCTGTATAAAGATGAAAGAACCAATAGTTTTCGAGTAAAATTTACCTTTTTGTGCAGAATTACACGGCGAATCTGCTGATAAAAAAATAGAACAAAAAGTATTAAAAGTGACTGAGATATCAACCAAATACTGAAATTGTCATTTATTCTAAAATATTTTCACTTATATAAATAATGGTAATGTAGCATCCCTAATGAAGCTCTTCGTATTGGTCCCAAATTCGGGTTCGATAATTTTGAACTCTATGGGCTCTAATCTCTAGTTTCTACCTTTATTCATATCAAAAAGAAAAACTTTAGACAATAATATTTATCAATAATAATAGAATATGTTCATTTATTTTAAACGAACAACACATTCGACTATTTAAAATTCTATGTAATTACACAATAAATAGAAATAATTTTTTTCTCTCGAATTTGGAAATCCAAATCTATCTATATTCAACAATATATGACATGATAACAGTTCAAAAAATTGATAATAAAATGTTATTTAATAGACTTTTTTTTTTATATTCTTCTAATATACATTTAAAAAAAAATATCTTCTATTAGGTATGCGTGAATTATGGTCACAAATGAATATTCAAAAAAAGAATAGTTATTATAAACGTGTTATTCAAATTTATAAAAGACCAAATCGTGATGTTGTTATTACATCATCTTCATCAACAATAGGTGATTGATCATTTTGTTTTGTTGATTTTATTGAATAGATTTTTTTTTCCTTAATCATATATATTTTTAGAAAACAATTCCACAGATAATATAAATACATCATCAATATCAAATGATTCATTACCTGTTGAATTAAAACGTCAAACATCAACACCATTATCATTTCATTCAGTAACATCATCAATAACAGATGAACAATCAATTATTTCACCAGAAGAATTAAATTCAAAAACGAATATATTTACTGATATTGTTAACGAATTAATAAAAGGTGCCAAAGGTTTAGATAAATTATCATGTTCACCAACTGATTTTGTAAATTCCATATATAAATTTGTTCAGTCAACAATTGATAAACAAATTCAAACAGTTAAAAATCTCGAACAATTAATTGAAAAGTAAAATAAAATTTTGATAAATTTTTTCTTTATTTATTTATTTTTAAGAAAATGTTCAACACAATTAAATCGTGCAAATATTTTTTGGACACAAAAAATTAATTATTTTGCTACAAAATATTTAATTAAATCACCCAATGAATCAATGAATGAATTAACATTAATTGTCAAATATTTTTATTTACTTGTATTATGTAAGTAAAAAAAAAAAACACAAGTGAAGATTTTCAAAATATTTAATTTGTTTTTTTTTGTTTTCAAGCACTTAATTGTCGAAAACAAGAAATTGAATTTGAAGTAGCATTAAAAGATTTACTTAATGGAAATTTAAGTCTAATTGATGAATCATTTTGTTCATCAATATTAACAAATATAATTGAAGATCTTATTTTACGTTCATCATTAGCTAATGATTATCTTGCTTCTCAACCAATAATAATTAATGATATTGAATATTTATTACCATTAATACGTAATATTGAATTAGAAAATGAATTTTTAAATAAGAATGATACATATTTACAAACAAATCCATTTTCTGATTTTAATGACTTAGAAGATTATTTAAATCGTTGTGAACGTATGTTTAGTTATATTAATATTTTTTTTTTTGTTATTCTTTTTTTTTTTAAAGATATGACCACAACCATTCCATGTCATCCTATACAACAGTCACATCATCCATCTATGTATTATCCAACATACCATCCTCCTTCTCAATATTATTATCCACCACCACAATCATCAGATATGAATAATTACTATTATAATCCTACAATAGCATATACGAATTCTCAACAAATATATCCATATGGTCAACCAACATCTTATTATCATCCATCAACAACATATAATAATAATAATAATAATAATAATGAACAATTTAAATATTATTATAATTCACAACAACAACAACAATCGTCATATATATATCCAACACAAACGAACAGTACTAATGACATTCCATTATCAAATAATCCTTCACTTCATCGAACATATCGACAAATGAATCCAAATATACAAAGGTAAAATTCTTTTTCTATGATATCGAGCATTTAACTTAGATTCAAATACTGTTTTGAAGTTTGTGAAAAACCAAATACGGTAGTTAAGACCCTTTGAAAATTAGTTTTTAAGAGTATAAAACCCGAAATAAAATGAGAGGTAGCTGCATTTCCTACGACTTTCCTTTGAAAAGTTCTAAGCACTACAAAAAAAAAAAAAATTTATCATAGCATTGCTAAAAAACACATTGTTTGTGATGGTAATAACTTTTCAAGGGAAGATCATAGGAAATACGACTACGTCTGATTTTATTTAGACCTTTGTATTCTTAAAAACTAATTTTCATACAACCTTGACTATCATATTTGGTTTTTCACAAATTTCAAAACAGCATTTGGATTTGAGTTAAATGCTTGGTATCGAAAAACAAAAATTTTGTTAGTCTTATATTTTTGACCAATACTATAATACAAAGAAATCTATTTTATTATTTCATCTATATAGAACTTACAGTAATTCACAACAACCAACACCATCTGGTGCTACACCAGCTGTATTTGATACAACAACTGTCGTTTCACCACAGGTAAAATTTTAATAAACATTAAATTCTATATCGACATGATTCTAACTATACATATATAATTATATGATTTCGATTAGAGAATTCGATATTTTAAATAAATCTTGATGTTATATCTTTTTAATAGTAGCAATATAAACGTGACAAATGTGTTTGTTTAGATTATCAATCATATTTTATAGATCCTATATAATTATTTTAATAATTTATTCAGTATACACTAGAGATATATTAAATGCACAAACAAATGTTATCTATTCTGTACAATAAGACAGCTATTGATAGAAATAAATCAAATAAGACAAATAATCCAATTATATGCAGATATGCCATTAGATTGACCCTTTTGCAAGGTTAGAAAATTTGGTTTCACACATCTCTCGTATACACTTTGATTGATAGTCTGATAAGAAGTATAGTATAATCTCTCTATAATGGACACCCTTCGGACTTTTCAAAAGTGTTCACTATAAGGAAGTTATGTCTTTTCTAAAAGCAAAATTTTTCTTTTACAAGAAACAGATATGTTTTCTTATTATTAGACTACATGATACGATTTAAAATATCGAATTCTCTACTCGAAGTTTGTTTAATTATAAGTAGTTAGAGGATCATTTCGATATAGATATTATTTAATGTAAGATTATGAATTTATTAAATATTCATAAGGATCTTATTTTTCTTATAGTCATCTTCAGCAGCAATAGATAATTAAAATTAATGTAAACATATGAATTGCTATTGCTGCTCTATTAGATTTTATTTGCTTTTTTTTTCTATCTCAATTAACTAAAAAAAAGAATTTTTTTTTTCTTGTAGTCAAAATCAATGAATACGACAAATAATAATAATTATCAACCATAGTTTACAAGAAAAACATTTCTTCGTACGATATTATTGTCGTTGTATTCTGCATCAGAATACGCCAGTTTCAGTTCTTTTTCTTTTTTCTTTTTGTTTTTTTTTTCTTTTCTCTATTCGAGTTGCTTTCTTCGTTTCTTTTTTTTCACACATATACACAGGTGCTTGTTTCATTCAATATCGTTGTCGTCATTATTTTCCCTTGTGTTTCATATATTTGCACGCTGTAAATTTCTGCTACTAGTACTTATTTATAGGTTGCTTCCCGTTTTGTTTATCTATTTATTTTAACTTTTCATTTTGCGTATCTTCTATGCATGAGATAATATTCTGTTGTTATTATTGTTGTTAATTTTCATATAAGGCACGTATATAACAAGTATTCATGTTTATCTTTTTTTTTCTTTCATTAGACTAGTAAGAACAAGTTTTAGGGTATAAGAAAAAAAACCTAGCAGTAAGATTCTTTCATGTATACTGTATATACATTTTTTTTTCTTGTTTGTTTCTACGAACAAATATCGACAAGAAAAAAAAAACACATATCCAAATTTATTGTTATTTCGTTTTTCGTATACGAGCAAAACAAAACAGTTTTTACATTCAATAATTGATTTGTAGAAAGTACAAAAAAACATACTTAATATTACTGATATATATATATCCATTATATAAATACACTTCCAATTCTTGCTTTCTTTCCTTCTTTTTTTTTTTTTTTATTTCTGTTTATTACCGGTGATATATCCACCTTACATCCTTGTTCTATTAAATTTTGTCCGTCCTTTCCTTGTTTGTATACGAAAGAAGAGAAAATTAACAAAAAAGAACAGGCATGTGTTTATTTGATTGAAAACATTCCTTTTTTTTTTTTTATTAAATGTCGATTGTTCGTAGATTTTGTTTATTAATGAAAGAAAAGAAAAAAACCACAACAACAATAATAATAACATGAAAAAAAAATCAATAAAGCAATGTTTCTCTGTTTGTTTATCTTTCACTATCGGTTCTATGTTCTTGTTTTTTTTTCTTTCATTTGTGTGTGTGTATCTGTCCTAATCTATTACATCATTCTTCATCTCTTTTTTTTTCTTTTTTGTGTATTTATATTTTGAAAGAAAATTAAGCATACGACAACACAAAAAAAAAGCATGCGTGACTTGTTCATTGTTCATTGAGATATTTAAAAATAACACTAAAATCTTTTTTATTGAATCCATTTGAGCAAAGTTGATTATAGAGTTCAGTAGCTTCTTTCGTTAATGGAGTTGAAGCTTTTACTTGTTTTGCTGCCTCTAGAAAACAAACCATGAAATTTAATAATAAGAAAAAAAAAAAGAGAAAATTAAATACCAAGAGCAAGCACCAGATCTTTAGTCATCAGTTCACTAGCAAAACCACCATTGTAATCATTACTAGATGGTACACTAGCAACAACACCAGGACACGGATTATATGTTTGACTTGACCAACATTGACCACTTGAAGAATTGATCAGTTTGGCTAATACATCTTTGTTGAGACCAAGTCTTATCAAAAAAAAAAAAAATTAAAAAACATTAGATTATTTAGAATTATAAAGATTAAATTTTTAAAAAATGCATACTTGATACCGAGACTCATTGCTTCTGCTGTGGCAATCATACTTAAACAATAGGAAAATACTAGAATTTATTTTTCTCTTATGTGTCTTACCTAATTGCTAAGAGGAGATTATTGCAAATTTTAGCTGCTAAACCACTACCATTTGCACCGGCATGGACAATATTTTTGCCCATTTTACTAAGAATAGGTTCGACAGCTTTAAAATCATCTGGTTGACCACCAACCATAAATGTTAATGTACCTTTTTCAGCACCAGTAGTACCTATAATATTTAAAGGTCAATTAAAACAGTGGAGTAATATATATATATGACTAACCGCCTGATACAGGAGCATCAACAAACTTTAATTGTTTACTTCGAGCCAGTTCCGCCATTTCTTTAGATGTTTGTACATCAATTGTGCTACAATCAATAATATATGTGCCTTTTTTAGCCGTACTAATCAATTAATAATAAAAAAATAAAATCAAAACTACAGAACAACTATTTCTATCTATCATACGAAAAAATATTTGATTGACAAACATCACGTACAATTTTACCATTAGGTAACATTAAAACAACAAATTCTGAATCTGCCACTGCTTTCTGTGGCACAGACGCTATTTTAGCTTGTTCTAAAACAATAAAATAGATCTATTTTTTGTACAACAAAGAAAAAAACAAAGAATTCTTTACTTTGTTCTTTAAAATGATCAAGTGCTTGTGGACTACTGTCAAAAATTGTTACATGATGATTAGCTGCAATTAAATTTGTTGCCATATGTTTACCCATATTACCAAGACCAAGAAAACCAATAGATGCCTAAACAAAATATGTCAATTATATTTTGCTTTCTTTTTCTTTTCACATATAAATATTTTAACATACATATCGAGCTAATGATAGATGTACCATAATGACTAAAAGGTAAGAATCTTGAAAAAGAAAATAAAACCTATTAAAAGATATTGGTTAATCATATCCCATAAGACCCTGTATTTTATTTATCAAGATAACATATAAAAGACGAGAAACAAAAAAAAACCTAACAATTAACACGTCTACGTATCAAATATATTTGTAAAAGTCAAGCAAATTAATTGGTTGTTGGCGATGATGATAAAATTCCCAAGTAAAAACTATCATAAGACTTAGTAAAAGACCATTGAGAGCACCATCAATTACTTGTGATACTAAAACAAATAGAAATCATTTTTAGAAACGAACGGTTTTTTTTTAAAATTTAATATATATATATACAAAATCCTTCTGCTTGATCTTCATGATTATTTTTCGCTTCTGTTTTCTCTTCATTTTCATTATTTTCATTTTCATTTTTATTGATTTCTTCTTCTTCCTTGTTTTCCTTTTCTGACAATCGTTTTTGAGCATTTTCAATACGTTTCAAACGTTTTTCTTCTCGTTCTTTTTCAGCTTGTTTTTCACGTTTTTTAGCTTTTGCTTTTTCATTTGCTTGTTTCTTTTTTAATTGTAGAGCTTTTTCTTTTTCATATTCTGTTTTACGTGTTTCAATATATCGTAGAACTTTTTCAGCACATAATCGACATTCTTTTTTATTTAAACATTTACCAGCTTGATTTTGTAAATCATCATCAAGAGGATTATTTTTTAAATCTAAATACTAAGTAAAATAGAAACAATAAAATAAATTATTAATATATAAAGATAATAATTTTACTTCTAATTTCGTTAATTCACAAAAAGAAAGCGGTAAATTTATAATATGATTATCGAATAAATCGAGTTGTTTTAAAGATTTTAATTGACCAAAATTTTCAGGTAACTTTGTGAGATGATTTTTTGATAAATCAAGTGTATGAATACCTTCAAGTTTAATAAAATCATCCTAAAAATCATTGAAGAAAAGTCAATAGATATATTTTGTATAAGACAGAAAAAGGAATACATCCGGGTAATGATTCAATCTGATTGTTTGATAAATCGATTGATTTAACTTTACGTAAAGCCAACTGAAAACATAACCAAAACAAAAAATGAATTATGAGAATAATCAAATGAAAAAAAAATATACAATATCATTGATATTAGGAACTGCTTTTAAATTGAGAATTGATAAATCAAGTTTGCCATCTTCAGACAGATAATCTTTTAGTTTTAAATGTGATTTCGAAGACATTTTTTGATAGCTTTACGAAAGCTGTATAGAAATATCTACTATATATTAGTTTAGAAGTTAAGTGAACCGAAACACGCAATAGAATAGAAGAGAAATTTTATTGGACTGTAGAGTACTCTATCAATACATGGTACACGTTGATTGTATAATCAAACTTTATATTATTATATAATATAATTATATGAAAATATATTTACCATAAATTTACATTTTTACCCAGTATTTTAGAGAAAATAGTGAAATAGATATGAAAGTAACGTCATCTACAGGATCTGCTGCAAACAGAATCGAATGCTATGCGCAATAACATCAACTACATACTGTTATATGCACTCTATCTTTTCTTTCTCATTGGTTATTCAAATTATTCATTAAACATTCTTGTCTATCTCTTTCTTTGTTTTGCTATTACCGTCATTTCTGTTAATCAGATAGCAATAAATATGTTTTGAACTTAAACTAGGAAGATAAAAAAGATCAATTGATTTTTGAAAATATTTCAATGATAACATGATTCTCACTTGTTCTTTTGTATGTAGAACTTATCTGTATTGTAGCAAATATTTATTTACAATTCTATTTCGAGTTATCGATTATCAATAGAACAAGTCATTACAGTAATATATTTGTGAAAAGAAAATCTGTTTGTAATTTCAAGTGATATTTATAGATAACTACGATCCATGTCGAATTTTAATCAAGAGAAAAATTTTGGAGAACGTATCGAATCATTGGATAATCGAGAACTCATTTCTCGATATAATCTTAGAAAAAGAAAGCTTATTTCGACTACTGAATATGAAACGCAACAATCATCTGATAAGACAACATCTTTGTCATTGATCATTGACGAAAATACCCCCGTTTCGATTGAAGGTATATTCATTGCTTACTTTGATAGACTATGAATGTTGAAATCTCTAATTAATTGTGTTTGATTGATATCATCAAATATTTAGCTTGATAATTTGTTCTTTATTCCATGATTTATCTGCTAATTTGGATGTAAGTCACGTTCTCAATCAACTCATCGAATATTTCGATGATAGAACACCGAAGAATAAAGAAGAAATTGAAAAATTAATCAATATTATATTAAATAAATTACCTATGCTAAAAGATGTCAAAGAAACAGATCTGTTCCTCTTCCGAACAGAAACACAGATTTCATTATTAATAAAACAATTTAGTTTTATTATTTTATATTATCTATTGAATATATATTGGCCACATTTATCAGAATCACCAACTTCTAGACGCTTTAAAGCATTTTATCACTTGATGCAATTATTGATTACAAATAATGTTATGCTCAAACTGACTCAAGTAGTTGATTTAAGTAAGTTACAAGATGAACCGGTTATTTCTATCTATGCCAGTACTAGACAACTTAGATTTATTCGAAAAAAACCTAGAACCTTCATTTCTGTCTTCATCAATGTTTTGTGTTATCAAACTAATTAGTTTTCATGATCAAATGTGACTTCTTATCTCAAACTATCTGTTCATATGATTCTATTGATTGTTTGAGAAAAATTCAAGTTCCTTGTCTATTTAGATGATATCTGGTTCTCATATGTGATAACTGAAGTATTGTATTTAATTACTGACAGAAATTTATGTTTAACCCAAAAAGATGTTATTTCTTTCGCCAATGTAATTGAAAATCCAATTGAATTAATCGATACTACCGGTCCTAATTTTATTCAATTCTTTGATTTATTAAATCATATTATTCAAAAAAAATTCGTGATCAATTGTTACTATAAACTGTTGAAGAAGGAAAAATCCGACATAACACACGGACAAATTAAATATTGTTTAAACCTGATAATCGATCGATTAAAACATCATTTATATAGAGGAATTTTGCCACCAAATTATTCTGCACTTACATGTCTCAATTGTCAAATAATTTTAAATGATACACCCAACGGTTTGTTTCATAGAATTCAAGACATGATCAAGTGAGAACTTTAGACATTTTTCTGTTGTAGTCCTTTACTGTTACAAATACATTAAGAGAGCGTCCATGAGTACATCAAGCATGCCTACAGCATACGAAGCACTCGATAAAAACTAATTTTTCGACTTTTTATGCGCATTCGAAAGCACATCATCTAAAACCACTAAACCCAAATTTTTAGCTCATTTGGATGTTCTATACAAAAGTTAGCCTATACCGACTTTTTAGCGGTACCAGCCGACTGCCAAAAAAATAATCAAAATTTCCTCAGAAATATTTACTGGGATTATACTTTAACAACTCAGAGAATTTTTTCATGTCATATATCAAAAGATAGAGCATGAAAAATTGAAAAAAAATGAGCTATTTAAAAAACTGTATATCATCTATTCACTGGCTTAACATGAGTGGAGAAGGTCTCAAGGTACCATTTTATAACGTCCAATTTTTTGGAGTATATCTGCTCCCATTTTGTGAAATCAAAAACTCCAAGCTGAATTTTTGATATGTTATGTAACTTTTTATTCTCTACAAAATGGTAAAAAAATAACGAAAAAAAATCGTTCCCCATCAATGCGAAAAACGGCTTATACCGTTGGTAGCCAGGTAAACAGCCTCATAGAAAATGATGCCG